CATTGTAGCTTGCCCGGCAAGCCTTGCCGGGCTGTTTTGCCAGCTTCGCGCCTGCTCGCTCGACACGTCGCAGGACGAGTGTCATTTGGTGGCATTTTCTATAGGAAGTGGCTTCCATGTGGCAAATAGCAGTCACTTAGTCACTTTGGAGCTTGACACCGCACTGATTGACGATGTGCGTCGTGGTGAGGTGGTGGTGTGAGGTGGTTCTGCCCTCGCGAGTCCTGGCAGGCTTGCCGGGACGACTTAGAGGCTAGCTTCCGGGGGCGACCCCGTCCTTGCCAGGCTCGCCTGCCCTGCACGGGAGGTTTCTTCCTTAGCGGTATCTTGCTCTTCGGGTTAGTCTTGGTCTCCATGAGCTGTGCGCTGGTCCTTCGAAGAGCTGACTCCTTGTGCTCCATTCTGACATTGGTGTTGTAATCTTGTTCTTGTGCATGTGCACAGTCTGGGCAACAAACCCAGGGTTTGTTGCACCGACACTCTCAAAAAAATTTATCTCTTAATTTTCGCTTTGAGCTCTGGCACCTCTACAAATCCCTACTTCCCTCTGTGAAGGGCCTTTCTATTTACTTTATGCAATTCTTATTTGAGTCTATGTCTTCTCTTATAAAGCACCAACTAAGGGGCACTATGATCGTACTTGAGCATTGGATCTAGCTAATATTCGAGTGTGTTTCATGAATGGATCAATGATTGAGCATAATGGGCTAGGGATAGCTTGCCCTAGTGTTGATATTTTGAAAGACATGGTTGCTTGTTAATATGCTTGAGTATTGAAATCTTCATGTCAAAACTAGACTATTGCTTTGAACAATATAAAATTCCATATGTCCATGCTACAAAAGAAAAGTATCTGATGAACATGATAGGCAGCATTCCACATCAAAAAATTTATTTTTATCATTAACCTACTCGAGGACGAGCAGGAATTAAGTTTGCGGATGTTGATACATCTCCAACGTATATATAATTTTTTTATTGTTCCATGCTATTATATTATCATTCTTGGATGTTTTACAATCATCTTATAGCAACTTTATATGATTTTTTGGGACTAACCTATTGACATAGTGCCTAGTGCCAGTTGCTATTTTTTGCTTGTTTTTTACTTCACAGAAAATCAATACCAAACGGAGTCCAAACGCAGCGAAACTTTTTGGAGATTTTTTTGGACCAAAAGACATCCAGTGGGCCAAAGAAGTACCAGAGGGGTGCCCTGAGGGGGGCACAACCCACCTGGGCGCGCTCGGGGGCCCAGGCGCGCCCTGGTGGGTTGTGCCCACCTCGGTGGCCTCCTGCACTGCCTCTTTGCCCTATAAATTCCCAAATATTCCAAAACCCTCGAAGATAACCCTAGATCATAAGTTCCGCCGCCGCAAGCCTTTGTAGCCATGAAAAACCAATCTAGACCCTGTTCCAATACCCTGCCGGAGGGGGAAATCATCACCGGTGGCCATCTTCATCATCCCGGCGACCACCATGATGAGGAGGGAGTAGTCCACCCTCGGGGCTGAGGGTTTGTACCAGTAGATATGTGTTTAATCTAACTCTCTCTCTCTCTCTCGTGTTCTTGATGGCACGATCTTGATGTATCGCGGGCTTTGTTAATATGGTTGGATCATATGGTGTTTCTCCCTCTCTATCTTGTTGGGATGAATTGATTTTTTCCTTTGAGATTTTGTTTTATCAGATTGAATACTTTTATGGATTTGAGAGCACTTGATATATGTCTTGCATATGAATACCCGTGGTGACAATGGGGTATTATATTGATTCACTTGATATGTGTTTTGGCACTCAACTCGCGGATTCCCGAGGTAGCATTGGGGTAACCTATGCAAAGGGGTTGATGCACGTTCTCATCCTTGTTTCTCAGGTAGAAATCTTGGGGCACTCTTTGAGGTTCTTTGTGTTGGATCGAGTATTATGAATCTAAAATTGTTTGATGCATATCGTATAATTCACTCATGGATACTTGTGGTGACATTGGAGTATCTAGGTGACATTAGAGTTGGTTGATGCGTATCATATAGTGTTATTTTAGTACAAACTCTTGGATAGATTGAATGGAAAGGATAACTTTAAGGTGGCTTCGTACCCTACAAATAGTTTCTTCTTATGTTCTCCGCTAGATAAGAACTTTGGAGTGATTCTTCATCGCATCTTGAGGGATGGTTATATGATTCAATTATATTAGCATTGTTGAGAGATTGCACTAGCGAAAGTAGGGACCCTAGGCCTCATTTTCAAGCACTGCAATACCGTTTGTGCTCACTTTTGTTACTTGCTACCTTGCTGTTTTTTATTGTTCCTATTACAAAAATCAATATCTACTATCATTACTACACTTGTATCACCATCTCTTTGCCGAACTAGTGCACCTATACAAATTACCATTGTATTTGGTGTGTTGGGGACACAAGAGAATCTTTGTTATTTGGTTGCAGGGCTGTTTGAGAGAGAACATCTTCATCCTACGCCTTCCACGGATTGATAAACCTTAGGTCATCCACTTGAGGGAAAATTGCTACTATCCTAAAAAACTCTGCGCTTGGAGGCCCAACACGAGTCTACAAAAATAAAGTTGCGTAGTAGACATCACCGCCTCTCTGACTTGCTCGGTTGAACATATTGTACTGGAACTTCCATTTCAGCGAAAGTACCGCTCGCCCGAGCAGTACTACCGCTTATGCGCGGGCTGGATGTGCATATCGATTGGATTCATTCCCTGACTATATAAGTGAGTCTTCTTCCTCTACTGGACTTATCTCTTCCTCACCCAAGTTCCATTGTTACTCAAAAGCTCATTTTCGCCCGATCTCTGTCCCTAGCCAATCAAACTTGTTGATTCTCTAGGGATTGTTTAAGAAGACCCCGATCTGCACTTTCACCAAGAGAAATTTGATTCTCCCCACTAAGCCCTTGCGGATCTTATTACTTTTGGGTGTTTGAGCATCCTAGACGGTTGAGGTCACCTTGGAGTCACAATCTATTGTGGTGAAGCTTCGTGGTGGTGTTGGGAGCCTCCAATTCGGTTGTGAAGATTGCCCCAACCTTATTTGTAAAGGTTCGGTTGCTGGCTTCAAGGGCACCACTAGTGGAATCATGACATCTTGCATTGTGCGAGGGCGTGAGGAGAATGCGGTGGCCCTAGTGGCTTCTTGGGGAGCATTGTGCCTCCACACCGCTCGAACGGAGACGTACTTTCCCTCAAAGGGAAGGAACTTCGGTAACACATCCTCGTCTTCATCGGCTCCACTTATAGTTACTTCTTACCTTTAATTTGAGCAAACTTTACTTGTGTTGTACCTCTTGTTTGCTTGTGTTGTCATTGTTGCTAGCATCATATAGGTTGCTCACCTAGTTGCATATCTAGACAACTTATTTGTTGCTAAACCTAATTTGTGA